AGATCCATTTGCAACCGATGGGTACAATACCTTCGGGCGCATCAACTAGGTTCCAAACCTTATTGGAGTACATAGAATTCAATCTCAGAATTCATGGCTTCTTGCCACTTCCCGGTCTATACTCATAATAGCCTCCTCGTAGGTCTGAGGATCAATATCCTCAACATCCTCTCCTCTAATATGTCCCACATATCTCTCAGGAGGATGGGATACTCTATCAGACCTGCGTAAAGTTGAAACATGTGTATTAGGTACCTGAACAGACTCGGGCTGTAGAGTGGTGCTTAAGCTTGGTTCTCCAACCTCGCTCAACTCTATCATTCTCCCACTGTCTCCACCAAGAATGTGTTCCTTCTCAAGGAACACTACTCTCTTAGCTACAAAGACCTTTTGGTCCTCGAGATGATAGAAATAATACCCACAAGTTTCCTTGGGGTGTCCCACAAATTTGCATCGCTCTGTCCTTGATTCTAACTTATCGGGGTTGTGTCTTTTAATGTGGGCAAGACAGCCCCAAATCTTAACAACCTTAAGATCAGGCTTCTTCCCTTTCCATATCTCATATGGTGTAGACACTACCGACTTAGTTGAAACTCTGTTCAGAAGGTAAGCTGCGGTCTCTAGGGCATATCCCTAGAATAAGATGGGTAGGTCAGCGAAACTCATCATGGACTGTACCATATCTAATAACGTACGTTTTCTCCTTTCAGAGACACCATTGAGCTGAGGTGTATAAGGAGGTGTCCATTGGGATAATATCCCATGGTCCTTGAGGAACTGAGTAAACTTTGTACTTAAGTATTCACCTCCTCGATCTGATCGAAGAGTTTTGCTACTCTTTCCAATCTGGTTCTCCACCTCATTCTTATACTCTCTGAATTTCTCAAATGCCTCGGACTTGTACTTCATTAAGTACACATATCCATACCTTGAGAAATCATCAGTAAATGTAATGAAGTAGGAGTAACCACCAATGGCATGAGTTGACATGGGTCCACATACATCACTATGTATGAGTTCTAACAACTCAGTGGCTCTCTCTCCAGTTCCACTAAATGGAGAGTTGGTCAGTTTTCCACGAATGCAAGGCTCACAAGTTACATATGACACATAGTCGAATGGATCTAGATATTCATTATTTAGTAACTTTTGAATCCTTCTTTCATGGATATGACATAGCCTACAATGCCATAGGTATGCACTGTTCATCTCATCTCGTTTCCTCTTAGGCACTTACATTCATGATATGTGGAGTAGTGTCTTGCATAAACAAAACTTTATGCAATATTCCTCTCGTCAATCTCCCCTAGGCTTTGCTAGAATTTACAATAAATTGTTGATGTGATAAGCAATACTAGTATCCAATACCATTGCACTATCACAAAAATCTGCCAATTGGAGATTGATCATGAATTTACCTGAAGCTTCTCCAAGCTTCTATTTTGCCCTTTCTGCAAGGTACTTTTTGCAGTTTCTCTTCCAGTGCCATCTTTACCACAGTGGAAGCATTGACCTTTGTCCTTTGCTGAGTCTTTCTTAGCAACCTTTGCTTTACCTGGTTTGCTCTTGCCCTTTCCCTTCTTAAGGGACATTTCTGCTTTCCTTTTCCTTTTGGTCTCACCAGTGTAGAAAATTGGCTTCTCTTTCTTAATAGTACTCTCTACCTCCCTCAATATATTGAGGAGCTTTAGGAGAGTCACCTCAAGCTTGTTCATATTAAAATTCATTATGAACTGTGAAAAGGAATCTGGTAGGGACTGAAGCACAATGTCCACACACAAGTTATCCTCTAGGACTATTCCTAGACCTGTGAGTTTCTCTATCCACTCAATCATCTTTAGGACATGGTTCTGAACTAGTGTTCCCTCAGTCATCCTAGCGCGGAAGAGGCTCTTGGATATCTCATATCGCTGAGTCCTTCCCTGTTCCTCAAACAATTTGCGGACATGTAGGAGAATGGATCTGGCATCTATCTTTTCATGTTGTCTTTGTAACTCAGGAGTCATAGAGCCCAACATATAGCACTGAGCAAGAGTGGAGTCATCAATGTACTTCATGTAGCGAGCGATCTCATCCTCGCTTGCCCCTTCTTCGGGCATAGGCATCACTATATCAAGGACATACACGATTTTCTCCGCTGTGAGAATAATTCTCAAGTTACGGAGCCCATCCGTATAATTTGGACCAGTGAGACGGTTGACATCAAGTATACCACGTAAGGGATTTGAAAGTGACATTTTCTTAAAATAAAGATGCAGCAGAAATGAATAACATGCAGATTTTGCAAGAAATAAACTATCAAGATATATACTTCTATCTTAATATGCTCCCACTATTTTACTAACGAGTCACGCGACATTCTCAGCATGTGAAACGGAAGTCTCCGGTAGACTTCTAGTAGGGATCAGGATCCAATCAGCGTCTTAGTGTAACCTCGAGGGACTCGACCAATCACACTAAGCCTAAAAGGTAGGCAACTATTGCCGATCACAACTCCTTGTGATTCCCGTCCTGTTCGGCCTCCGAATCACCATGGCCTCGAGGGACTCGACCAACCATGATGCTCGGTTAAGTCAACACCTTCGTTACAAGATGAGTTTGATTTGATGATATACCCTCGAGGGACTCGACCAAGCATACCATGCCCTCAGGTCACCGGTGACATCTCTATGTCGTAAGCAAGATAGCGAATCATGATATAGGTGAGTCTCGAGGGACTCGACCAACTCAACCTACACCGGGAATCGGTTCCTACTCATAACAATGGAAGGCCACGTGGGTCAATCTAATTGCCTCACGTTTACCGACTTAATATTATCGAGAGATGTTTTTATGATTTGGTCTCCTAATATGACATGTCACACATATACATATTTAATATATATCTACATCGCATGCAAATATATATATATATCTAGTATGTGTATAAGCAATCATACCAGATAATCATGGACCACAACCTAATATGATTAGGCCCGAGCCAGTAGGCCTAATCACCCACATCAAGATCTATGTGTGCAACGGTGCATCTCCATGCCCTGTGATCGTCCATCTCGTCCTCGTCGGTTCCGTCGACATCTTGATGCATCTTCATGCATCGCGATCGTCCTTCTCGTGGGTCCCGCTATCGCATCTATCGCCATCCTACACGGGCGGCTACACAGAGATACAGTCTCGTCGTTTCATGCGTCCCGGAATGGCAACCACGTAAAGGTACTATTTGGCCATTTCGAGTGTTCCAGGATAGCGACCACACATAGGTACTATCTTGCCCCTCGAGGATTGGCCAAAACGTCGAATCTGCATGCGGTCTACCCTCGTGTGGCAATATAAAAACCCTCGGTCGGCGTCTGGCCGTGGGGGGGAAGAGAAATCAGATCACTAACTTATTCGTTGAGGGGCTAAAGTCGGGAACCACCCAATGCGGACCTTTTGTGCAGGAGAGCGACCACGCTCGAGTCGTGATCATTTTGATCAAGAAGGCGTCTTTCCCCAAGCGACTCCGACAACCCGATCGGCATCCAAGAACTTCCGATTAGGAGAGTGGACACCCTGAGCCGCTACCATTCCTACCAGGAGACAGACAGTGACCATCATCCCGACATCAGCACCATGACCTGTGGTCGATCAACTTCGACGACCCGTCAAGCTGATCTTTGACTCCCAACATTGACCCGTGGAGACATTGGTATCATCTGGTATTCGTAGTTTTAGAGTACGTAACTGCCCCTCTTTGTCTTCTTCTTCTTCTTTGTGTTATACATACATATTACTCCCCGAGAAAAAGAGCGACACATCTTAGCCGACGTGTCCTTCCATAAGTCGCCTTAATCATGAATTAATGGATATATACAAATATTTCATCTATATATATATTATGATTATTCCATTGATTTTAATGAGCTATCGATCAAATCGATCATGGAAAGTTTCTAGAAGATCCATTTAACTGTCCGTTTCGAGTTGTGCACCCACACTCCAATCATTCGTTGCCCTCCTTCGACGACCACGTCACTGCTTACGTTCACGAGAGTATGTGAAGCGGCGTTACATATACCGCGGTGCGGCAAGATAAGCTCAGATTGCGGCGAGCAAAGGCGATGAAGCAAACGGTGGTTTTGTACGCAGTGCCGGCGATGGGCCACTTGGTGCCCATGGTGGAGCTGGCCAAGCTCTTCGTCCTCCACGACTTCTCCGTCGCTGTCGTCCTCATGCACACGCCCGTAAAACATCCCTCCGTGGACCCCTTCGTCGCCCGCGTCTCCTCCGCCTACCCCTCCATCTCCTTCCACCAGCTCCCGCCGGCCGCCTCACTCCCCGATACCCCGCTCCCCCGCTTCTTGGACCTCGTTCTCCCCAACAACCCCCAGCTCCTGTACTTCCTTGAAGCCCGTTCCCACACCTCCGACGTCCGCGCCGTCGTCCTCGACTTCTTCTGCACCGGTGCCCTGGCCGTCACCGCCAACCTCCGCCTCCCTTCCTACTTCTTCTTCGCCTCCTGCGCCGCCGTTCTCGCCGCCTTCCTCTATCTTCCGACCCTCTACGCCACCGCCGACATCGACTTAAAGGCCCTCGGGGACTCACCGCTCCACTTCCCAGGGCTGCCCCCCGTCCCCGCCTCCGACATGCCTCGCAACATGATCGACCGCGATGAAGACTACTTCAAGAGGATGATACGTGCCTTAGAGAGCCTGCCGAACGCCGACGGCATCCTGGTCAATTCGTTCGAGTCCCTGGAGGCGGAGGCCGTCCGGGTCCTTCGGGACGGGGCCTGCATTCCCGGTCGTCGGATGCCACCGGTTTACTGTATCGGGCCGTTGATCGCCGACGGGAGCAGGGACGTCGGAGGAGAAAAGATGGAGAAGGCTGAGTGCGCGTCGTGGTTGGACGAGCAACCGCGCGGGAGAGTAGTGTTCCTCTGCTTCGGTAGCATGGGGACGTTCTCCGCGGAGCAGCTCAAGGAGATCGCGGCTGGCCTGGAGAGGAGCGGACAGCGGTTCCTTTGGGTGGTGCGGGCTCCGCGGAGCGAGAGCCAGGGGCCGCAGGGATGGGGGCTGCAGTCAGAGCCGGACTTGGAGGCCCTGTTTCCGGAAGGCTTCTTGGAGCGGACAAAGCAGAGAGGATTCCTGGCGAAGTCGTGGGCACCGCAGGTGGAGGTGCTCAACCACGAGGCGGTGGGGGGGTTCGTAACGCACTGCGGGTGGAACTCGGTGCTGGAGGCGATCACGGCCGGGGTGCCGATGATCGGGTGGCCACTGTACGCGGAGCAGGGGATGAACAAGGTGCTCCTGGTGGAGCAGATGCGGGTGGCGGTGGCGATGGAGGGCTGCGCCAAGGAGCTGGTGGCGGCGGAGGAGGTTGAGGCCCGGATCAGGTGGCTGATGGAGTCGGAGGGGGGGCGGGACCTGAGGGCACGGGCGGTGGCGACGAAGCAGAGGGCGGCGGAGGCGATAAGGGAAGCCGGGTCGTCTCATCAGGCGTGGCTGGACGTAGTGAAGACCTTGAGGAATGGAAGCACGTCACCACTTCGAACCACAGGATTGACGAGTGAGGACCACCTCAAGGTGCCGTGCGATTGATGACATCCGCACCTGTCGGTTGAGGAGTAGTGGACTCCCCATGTGATGAAGCAATTCAATGGTTTGTGGACCTTTGTTGGAAAACCTAAAGATAAATATTAAAATATTTTGAATAAGTTAAAAATTTAGTCAAACAATTAAATTATTAATTAATTTATTTCTTAATAAATAATGTGATCCTTAAAAGTAAATAATTTAAATTTTATTTTTATATGTGAATAATAAAAAATATTATAATTTTACTTTACGTATAAAAGTAAAATAAAAATAAACTAAAAAATATATTATTGTTTACCTGAGCTAACTTTCAAAATTTTAAGAGCAGCTCATTTATTAGCTTATTAATTTTTATATGTATATTAATTGTTTTTTTCCTCGCTTCTTTTCCATATATTCAACCCACACCTTTCACCCCCCCGCCCACCCCGCCCCGCCCAAAAAAAAACACTAATAATAAAACGGAGTCTCCTCAAACATGGAGAAATGCATGTCAGCTCATGCTTTTATCACCAACTCCCACGTGCGTGATCACGGGCTTCGTCGGCTATGGTCACCCGTGCTAAAATTGTACCACTTTGACGCCCTTCTTCCAGGATCTAAAGCGCGAGCTGCCGCCGCCACCACCACCGCCACCTCCTCCGTTCCACTCGCCATGGCGTCATCGTCCTCATCCCTCGGAGCCGTCTCCTCCTTCAACCTCCAAACCTCATCCAAAACTCCGCAGGCTTTGGCATCCTCGTTGATCCCACTGAGCCCAAATCCCTTCCGTCCTAAAACTAAACTCCCCAAACTGGCTGCATCACCCTGCAGACGACAATTTTGTCTTCCAAGAAGAAGCATCGATGCTTCCCTCTTCCCCGCCAAGAAGCCCACGACCGATTCTAGGCCAAGTATTCTTCTTCTTCTTTTTCCTCTTCTCGTTTTTGTAGAATTTGTTTCGTGGCCTCTGTGTTGCCGGTGGCTGACGAGGCAAAGACTTCAGCTAAGGTGCAGGAGCTGAGCGTGTACGAGATCAACGAGCGGGACCGCGGCAGCCCCGTCTACCTCCGCCTGAGCCAGAAGGAGGTCAATTGCCTCGGCGATCTCGTCCCTTTTAGCAACAAGGCAAGCTCAAGCCTTTCGATCTCGTCGATTCAGTATATGCTCTCAATGTATATGAGTAAATGCCTCAACGACTGATGCGTGAAATAGTTGTACTCCGGGAACCTGGAGAAGCGGTTGGGCATCACGGCGGGGATCTGCGTGCTGATCCAGCACGTGCCGGAGCGGGGTGGCGACCGCTACGAGGCCATCTACAGCTTCTACTTCGGCGACTACGGCCACATCTCGGTGCAGGGGATGTACCTGACCTACGAGGAGTCCTACCTGGCCGTGACCGGCGGCTCCGGCGTGTTCGAAGGCGCCTACGGCCAGGTCAAGCTGCAGCAAATCGTCTTCCCCTTCAAGCTCTTCTACACCTTCTACCTCAAGGGGATCCCCGACCTGCCCAAGGAGCTGCTCGGCACGCCAGTGCCGCCCTCACCCGTCGTCGAGCCCACGCCAGCCGCCAAGGCTGCCGAGCCCCACGCCGCCGTCAAGAACTACACCAAGTGATCGGGATCGGGTCAATGCCTGTCGGCGGGAAGCAAATAATGGAGTCGAATCCTTTTACTTCGGGGTGACGTGAGTGCGTTGGAACGCGCGTCGTAAGTCGTGACCCGGCCTTTGATTGGGTATTGTAATTACCTGCGTCGGTTGTGGCTTGTTCGTAGTGGAGATCTCCGTGTGAGCTGTTCCAACTCTATGACATGTTTTTGTTTTCTGTTTTATTTTGTTTTGTTTACTTGATGAACATGCAATCATTTCAAAGAAAATGAGTTTGTTATTATGATTAAATATTAAATTATCTAATATGATTTTAAAATTGTTATTTTATCGACAATGAATTTAGTAATTTGAAAAAGAATAGTAATTCTTAGTTCCTACCCAAGCAATTAATTCTGTTTGGTTTGGTTTCTTCGGTTCAGTTTCGATCTTCACAGTAAATGTGTTCAATTAAGTTCGAGAACTTTTCCAAACCGAACGTAAACCGGGAATGACTGACGCTAATTGATTCGGTTTCACTTGGTTCAATCCCTTCGGTCAAGCTTGAATCTTCTCAGTCGAATGTGTTCAATGAGGTTCGAGATTTGTTCAAACCAGACCGAACCGGACCAAACCGAGAATCCAGTGGGGATAACGCACGTGAATAAGAAATAATAAATAAATATAATTAATTCAGTCTCTCGCGTTCCTATTTGGCCAGCCGTGTCGAGAAAGGAACTGAGAGAGGGGAGGAGAGGAATCCAAGAATCCGTCGCCGACGGTAACGTGCCCTCGAATTTAAGAACATATCCTACTTTTTTTCTCTCCCTTGCTCGATCTCTCCTTCTTTTTTTTTTCTTTCTGGTTTATTCCTTCCCCTTTTCGATCGATCTCTTCTTCCCGCTTGTTGTTTTGTTCTTTCTGATCGATCTTTGTTCGTTGGGGGTTTGGTGGGAACAGTGCGAGGTCCTTCGGCCATGGCTTCCAAGCGGATCCTCAAGGAGCTAAAGGATCTTCAGAAGGATCCCCCCACGTCGTGCAGCGCAGGTATCTCGGATTCCGACGCCTAGGTTGCTCCATCTTTTTCCTGCGATTTTTACCTCTGTTAGGAGGTGGATTCTGATTATGCATCTCGATCAGGATGCTGTGCTCTGTCGTTAGGCCTTCTTGTTGCTGCTAGTCCTCTTGGTTGCTAGTTTTTTGTTCGAAAAGCTATATCCTTACTGGTTTTTTGGTGTTGAGATTTCAGCATCATGTAAATCGTGGCTCGAATTCATCAAATCCTACTTTCCTTCTGCTTATGTATTATGTTTATACCAGGCTGAAAGTGTACCCATATATATTTTATTTTGTATGGCTATAGACAGCGATCACAATTCAGGACAACAATTTTCGAAAAGGCTGCTTTAAAAAAGACCCAGCTGAAAAGTTCATGCATCTCAAGCAAAATTGAGTAAGGCAGAAAAGAATTCAAACGAGACAGAAATGCAAGTCAGGACACCCCATAATAGCCCGACATAGGCTTCCTAATCTTTCCTTCAGTATACTGGGTTTATGCTTATATTCACATCAATAATATTGGACTAAAAGGTTTCTAGAATGTGATTTGGATTTGCAATACCATACTAATCCTTATAAGCTCGATCAACTTTATTATCGTGGAAAGGACACAGAACGATGTACTTTGCAATTTTCTTCAGGGATGTCTTTGTCAATTCATATCTGTCGAATGGTACAATTCAGTAAATTATTCAATGAGTTAGAGTCATAATAATCATTTTTTTCATTTGAATTTAATTTGCCGGTATATGTTTTCTTTTCCTATCATCTTTGTTCTTCAATGCTTAAATGCTGGTGATTTCTAGATTTTAAGTTGATAAAAGAATGTTACACATGCCACATCATACGGCGTGCTAGCGTGCCTTGAAGATATGGTTGCTTAGTGAACTTATTTAAGTTTTGAAATCATGCCACAGTTGTAGACTTACAATGATGATCCCTTATCTGATAACAAGATTTTGCTTGTATTGGCATTGTACAGGTCCAGTGGCTGAAGATATGTTCCATTGGCAAGCAACGATAATGGGCCCACCTGACAGTCCATATGCAGGGGGAGTCTTTCTAGTTACTATACACTTCCCTCCAGATTATCCATTCAAACCACCAAAGGTATTGGTAATATGGAATTTCTAGGACTAGAGTTGTTTTTTCTCCTTTGTCAAGTCTGCCATAGAATTTTTTTTTTCTTTTGGCATGTGTTCTATAGTTTCACTGTGTAAAGCATTTCTTTATTTACCCAACAACCTCATGAACATGATTGTAATTATGAATTCTGATTACCTATTCAATTTGTATATTGACATTCACTATTGCTTGCTATTACATGACTAATGTGACGTTATCTGTACATTCAACCATGTACTTCTATTCAACATATTTCCTATGTAATACCATGTGGTGCTTGCTAGGAAGGTAATCAAGCTCACCTCAAAACAAGCTAAATCATGCTCAAAATAAGCTGGAAATTCTGTTGTGGAGCTGAAGCTTTGGTTTAACTATAATTTTAGAGTTGAGATGGATTTGAACATTAAGCTCAACCAATGACTTCAAGCCATACACAGCAGTTCTATTTTTTTCAGATGAAATACAATATAATTAAATGCTTTAAGCATATATCCTAAATCCTATTCTAAAAGCTGTGTATCAGTTATTAAAGGTTTCAGCTATATGGGGTATGTTATAATCTGTCTTATGTGAATGCTGCTTTTGATTCACAACAAAAAAACATTCTTAGTAATTATAGTTGTGCATGCAAGTCGTTTCTAGCTTGCTAACAGTTCAAGATGCTTTTTGTGTTGGGTACCGGATTTGTCAGACCAGTGTGTTACGACCATCCATATACTGCTGCTTTATACCAGTGGGGAAAATAAAAAATAAAAAATAAAGAAGACATGAAGGAAAGAAGAAATGAGGGGACTTACTGGCTACGAGGGTATTTTCCTTTGTCCTCTTCTTAAAGACCAGCTATCAGACCGGAGATGGAAAAGGACATCCGACTTCCTCTCCTTTTCCTCCTATTTCCAGTGATTTTGCTTAGAAAAAAAAATTGAAAGTTCAACGAAGAGAAGCCTACTTTCTGTAGTAAGGTTTCAAAACCATGTTATTGTAGCTTTTTACACATTTAAGTTTCCTGCATTGTCAATGTTAGCCTTAGCAAACAATTACTGAAGTTCTTTGTGTTCATATGAAAATGAGTGAATTCCAGTTCTTGCAACTTTGACTTGATATAGATTTTAATTTGCTTTACCACATAACTTTCTGTGACTTAGATGATGCTGAAGACATTTAAGGTCTGGAGAACAAGGTTTAGTGGAAGATTAGAGAAATATACCTCATGTAGACCTGTTCATTTATTTTTCCAAAGACGATAGATTTATTTTTAGATGGCCTAACGGGAGCCAGTTTTGTTTGGTTGCAAATAATAGTATGAAGATCTTTTCTCAAGGAAAATATAACCTTAATTCTTGGGACAAGTGTTTCACTGTATATGAATTATGAATACAATTTTCCACCTTTCATTTGTTTTGGAACAGAGGACACACACAACTACCAGTCTACCTGGTGAGGTGCCTAATAGTGTAATAATAAAATGAAATGGTTCTTGTTTGGACCGTTTTTCCAACTTACATGTTTGTGTTCTGCAGGTTGCTTTCAGGACCAAGGTTTTCCATCCAAACATCAATAGCAATGGAAGCATTTGCCTTGATATCTTGAAGGAGCAATGGAGTCCAGCTTTAACTATTTCTAAGGTTACTTTTTTCCCTTCTGTCATAGTGTTTATCATTTACAAAGTTGTATACTCAGCATGTGCCTTTCATCAGAGTAATGACTGTAAATAGTCAGACCAAGAAGTGCTCATATTAAAGGAGCATTTTAAATAAGCCTCTATGCCATTATACAACTTCACTTTAGTCATTGTAAGGTCTATCGGTCGAGTCACGGGCACACCTAACTCAAACCAGGAGATATCCACTGTAGCCCATCTCCAAAACATGGTTGCCATTTGGCTTCATGTTAGGCAACTCCATTTGGTTTCTTGAATGCCAAATGTAATCAGAACCCTTATTGTAGAAATTATTGAGTCATGTCTGAAATGAACAACTCGTCCATGAATTCACCATCTTTTGTTTGCATAAACTGAAAGTAGGTACAACATCAAATCTCTTTTTCCCCTTTGAGTTCTTTTTCCAATCTTCTTTGATCTGAGCAAGTTAAGGATAGGTTTGCTGTTTTATTCAACAGGTATTGCTATCAATCTGCTCGCTGTTAACGGATCCAAACCCAGACGATCCATTGGTTCCAGAAATTGCCCACATGTACAAGACAGACAGAGCCAAGTATGAGGCCACTGCAAGGAGCTGGACTCAGAAGTATGCAATGGGTTAGCACCAAAGACCATGAAAGGTTCCCATGGACTCAGCACTTGCTAATCATGTGTGGAGGCATGCTGTGTTCTGTTTGTAAAATTGGAAGTAACCTACCCGTGTCACTTAACCTGCTTGAAGACTAGAAAGTTTCAAGCTTCATCAAGCTTTTCAAGTTTGGTTGTAATTGATTGTTTGCATGGATATTTTAGTGTTTGAACCATAAAATTCTCTTGCGTTGCTTGGATTATGGATAATTACTTCTCAAAGATGATGTGGGGCTCATTGGCCATCATACCATGTCAAGAGCATGCCAATTAAAGTTGTCAAGTTAAACAACATTCATAACCCACAATTTACCACCAACTATTGACTTGTTCCTGAATTCTTTTTCCAAACCTATCATTGCTCTTCTTTTATATATATATATATCATGCAGTGTCCCCACTTAAAATGGTTTTATTAGAACACTCTTTACCACATGAAAAGATTATTTTACTTTTGTTTTTGTTGAACCCACCATTGCCTTTATTTCCATGCACTGCCGCAATCGTGTTGCGTCGAATCCAAGAACATTGAAAACTATGGGTGTTGGTACCCACACTAATCCTAATCGTCTTTATTAGAGGCCAAGGACATCACAAAAAATGATAGATGGGACAACCCACATATGAAGGGGACAGGACGAAAGACGATGATCGATAGAGTTATGATGGTCATTTAAGAAAAATATTATCTAAGAATTTTTTAAGTTAAGACACTCCATAATAAAATTTTCATGTTTAGAAACTTGTTCTGAGAATTTATTTTATAACATATATATATATATATATATATATATATATATATATATATATATATATATATATATATATATATATATATATGGGTGTAATAATTTATTTCCTTTTGAAGGAAAGCACGGCCCGTCTCTTTAGACTGGTAAACCAACCACGTGACCAGATTGCCCCTAACAATTCTTTTATTTACATCAACTTCCTCACAGTGGTAAGTCCACCCACGTTGAGGTGCGAAGCGAGCAACCCCTTTTGTCTCCGTCGCTCTTGGTAAGGTTTGGTCCGAGGCCTGTGGAATCCTCCGGTGGCATCCCTCCGATGGCGAAATTGTTTTGGTTGGAAGCCGTTCTTCCACTGGGAATCATCGCCGGGATGCTCTGCGTGATGGGCAACGCGCAATACTACATCCACAGAGCCGCTCATGGGAGGGTGAGATCCGAAAATTCTCCCTTGGTTTCTTCCTTCTAATTCTTGAATCTGGGCTGATGATCTTTGCAATGATGACGTAAAGATCATTTTTTGTGCTTTTTCCTGAACAAAATGCAGCCGAAGCATATCGGTAATGATGTTTGGGATGTGGCGATGGAGCGGAGGGACAAGAAGATCGTGGAGCAATACTCTGCGAATTAGGTCTGTTTCTCTTAATTATTTGTTCGTTTCTTTTCCTTCTTTTTCTTTTTCTTTTTCGATTGGTATTCTTTTGATGCTTCTAGGGTTAGGTTTGGTGGTGTTCAATTTCTCATAAAGCAAGAAGGAACTCTTCTTTTGGGGCAGCGAACCTCCTCGATGATATAATGAAATTCGGATTTTTTTTGTCCATGCATCTTCCACATTTGGATGGAAGTCCACCGTCATAAGATTAACCCTTTCATCTCTGTATGTGTAAGTGTATTGCATGAAATAGGAAATGTGATCGATTAATCTAGGGATGGACCAACAATGAACGGACCATTAGATCTAGCAGAAACTTTTGGCAAATGGGACGAGTTACAAGAAGTTTGGCTCTGGCACTTTAGTGAAGGAAATTTGTAACTATATCAAGGGAAATCTAAGAGAAAGTTAGTTTTCTAAAATGTTGGATTAGATAATTAATAATATGATACTTGTTTCCTTTAATTATGTTAGTCATCAAGTCTCTAGCCAGCTATTGCCATGATGATTTAGGAAGCACTGATTTTAGATTTTTTTTGTGTTAAAGGTAGCTTAAATTGTCACCTTGAGATTTTCTAGATCCTGTCCGAAAAAATTTTATCAGAATGTTTTCGACTCCATGTTGCCTCTTATTTGTTTAGGCTTGATTGCCTGTTGCTGACATTATCCAGTACGTTCTTTCGATAATCAAGTCAATTGCATGCAGATACTGAATCACATCCCATGTTATATACTTAACTATTGACCATTCTATAGTATCCTCAGCTCTTACTTGAGTCCTTTATTATAGATGCAAGATGATGTACCTATAAAATCATCCTTTTCACAATCTTCAGAGAATTGCATTATCTATTCTTTTAATGCTATTGACTGCCCGAAACTTGTTGTTTTCCTATGGCATCTCTCGATGATTTTATTTGGTTGCTGCCCTAAATTTTTCGGCTTGTTATTTGACTCTGCAAGACATTGTCTTCAAAAGACTTCTCTTGATGATTCTGGTACAGCAAATCATTGTTATCATATCATCATTGTCTTGAGTTCTTTGTGTATGGTGATCCTTGAAGTGTGATCTCCTAGGATATTGACAAATGACTTGTAATGAAATGATATAGTTCAGTTTCTAAGATCCTTTATGTCTAGTTATCATCATTTTAATGTTGCATGGCTTTGTTATTACTTGTTGACTGGAACCGTCAAAGTTGACATTCATTTGACCTGGCCAAAGTTGTCTAAGGCACCAGTTTCTAATAGGCATTAAGGCACCTCACTGCTTGAGTTGCTAGGTACTTGCATAGGCATTTATTTGAGAAAAATCAAAATGCTTATCTTGCAATTATAAAAATATATTTAAGAATAAAGATAGTCATTACAATGAGAACTTAAATCAATTTTAGCACTCAATCAACAAAATGATAATTTTATTAGTTTTTATCTGTATAACAAAATAAAATAAATATAATCAACAACGACGAGTGCTAGCTGCGGAGAGAGAATGAATGGGGAAGAAGTGAAGGGAGGAGAAAAAGCGGAAAGAGAGGGGATGATGATAGTGACAGTGCTTGTTGGTTGTGGAGAGAGGAGAGTCGAAGAGAGAGGGGAGTCGGGAGAGAAGAGGGGAATAGAGGATGCCTGCAGCAACAGGTACTGGCCATGGATATAAGAGAGGGGAGGGGAGAGGAGGAAAGAGAGAATGGTAGTAGCGAGTGTTATTTCATCATGAGCGGGCTATTATTTGCATTCATTACAATGCTAGTTATCTACAGCTCAAATGATTTCTTTCATTGTGTGCTTGCGTAGAAGTTTTGTATCAATGTATTGTGGTGTTATGACAGTGGTAAAAAATTGACCGCGGTAGTGGATGACACGTTACATGAAGAAGGGTTGTGCATGGGTGGGTGGGCCTCAAGCAGGTGCCCAGTTGAGGGTGTCTCTTTTAGTGCCCTTCGAGGTGCTCTAGTCTCATCTCGCCTCATCTGAATACATAGGCCAGTGCTCCTCTCACTATATTGAATTGTAATTCAGTTTTTGGAAGTCGTTCACAAGATCTTAATATATCTAAATCTATTTCTTTTGTCGAGTATTTTGAACCTTCTTTGAACCAGCAACAGGGTAGCACACACATAACAACACCATCCCATGTGGCACAATTCCTAATGATGCCAAACGTCGACTTTTAGTTTCTCCATATTCTAAAAGTTTCAAGCTGTTTCTAATTGTTTGTTGGGAGATTTAAACCCTGCACATGTTATGCATTCTTGTGTCTATAAAGAGAATATCTAAATAATCATTGTTTCATTATCCATGATGCTTGTATCCGTGTTAGAATTGCCAACATGGAAAATCATGTATGCCTGATGAAAAGTGATTTTGTAGCTACTGGTGATTCTACAATGTTCAACGAGGTGCATTTGCTACTGAGTTTTGTTCAATTTTTGTCCGTGTTCCATGTCCGCAGTCAGTCGCTAGAAACTAGAAGCTGTTAGGTTCTTTTTATCGAATTGTTGCACTAATCTCTTTATTCCGAAGCACTATAGTGCGAGTTTTCTAATTTAATCTCTATGCCGCAGGAAGCAATCAAACAAGCGGTGGTTACCCATTGCTGATATCTATTCAAGAATAAAAAAAATCTTTGTACTTATGACCTTCCATGTTCCATATCTCTGTTTTATAACTTGGGGATATTCAGAAGAACCCTCGTCAAATTTCAAGTGGAGAAAACATTGGAAATAATTTGGAGATTTGAATGGTTTTCAATATGGTTTGCCACTCCGAGGGGATGCTGGCAATCCTGGTCGCTTGGGTATTTGATGCCAAGATTATAATTTGATCCATCTAGACTATTATATGATCAATTTTATGAGTATTTGATGCCAAGATTATAATTTCACTCGTATCGTGTAGTATTTTATCTTATCAGGCATGAACCAATATACCGATTTGTTTGAAATTTTCTCATTTTGGATGGTTCCGATCCAATTAAACAGAAAAACTTCAATGGATTGAAATAGTGTGCCATTGGTTCGTCTCCGTCTAGCTCTTTGTCACCCATTTCCTTCCTCCTTTTTCTGGTTCTCTTCCTCATCCTCCTTTTTTCCTTCATCTCTTTTCCTTCCTCTTCTACTTCTTATGTTGTCTTTTCTTCTCTTCCTTCTTATTCCTACTCCCTTCATCTGTCTCCTTTTTTTTTTCCCTATCTATTTTCCTTCTAATTCTTCTTGAGATTTTATAGTTAGAATTATCTCGCAGATTTATGGGTTATTTTTCACACTTTCCAGCTTTGGTCTCGACATTATTGCTTTATGGATTGTGGTTGGACTGCTCCTCCAGCATTTCTAATTCATTTAGAATAGCTAAATGAATAGATATGCTAACTACTACACAAATAACCAAACGAAGAAATGAATAGAATGCACACACACAGTTTGAAATCTGAGGATATATCTTATAACCAAAAAGAAAATGTCCAGAACCACACAGCAGCGGCGGTGAGCAGAGACAGAGGTATACATTTTAGTTGTGGGTGTGTAAATGTGTAATGACAAAAAAGAATAAATAAAACCCCTGACCACAAACAAACACCCCCCAAAAAGAAAAACGAAAACAAAAATTGAAGGAAGGAACAGTGCCAGTCGCATCTCAAAATGGGTAAGGATGCTGCTGCTGCTGCATCATCATCATCGAGCCTTCAGCGGTAGGCATAGTTTCTGCAGTGGTATTAAGTTCGGATGATGATGAGTGCATGCTGGGTGAAGGACTCGAAGGGAGGACAGGGGAGGACCCTTCGGGTACCGATTGCAATGGTGCGTAAAATGGTTGCATTTGGTGGATGGGGTACGCTTCGGCCTCCTCTTCAATGCCTTGGTCATCCAAGTAGACGATGTCCTCCTGCATGGTGAACTGATGGTACTCCACTGTCTCCCTGAGGAATCGGTTCTCCCTTGCGTAGATGGAGTTTTCATGCGCCAGCCTGGCCTTTTCAGCCAGTAATGTCTCCAACTGGAGGCGTATCTGCGTTAGCCACAACAGCAAATGTAAATGGACAGAGAGAGAGAGAGAGAGAAAGAGAGATAGTCCATTGAAGGCTAAATTAGGAAACATCGTAAGCAAACAGCTAAGAAATGAGAAAGCAGAATGCAAACCAGGTCATCATCTGCCGGCGTTTCTCCTTTCTGGCGATTCTCCCGCAATATCTTGTTCTCCTCTTCAAGCTTAGCACATCTCTCCTTCGCAGTAGCCAAGTCAGCTTTAACGATCTTTAGTTCCCTCAGAAGAAGCTTTGCCTTAGCAGCCATTACATTTGCAACCTGCAACAAGAGAGAAAGGAAGACACAACTACAAATAAATGATACTTCGAAGGCAGCTAAAATCTACAATGAACAAGGAAGGACAACAAGACATTTGCAGAAAATGTGTAGTGACTAGTGACCAACAAAAAGAAGCTTAGATGTCTATGAATTGCACTACCTTAGTCTTGTCTACGATATTGTCTTAGACCATTTATGCCCAGAAGCAACAGTCCACAACCTAAGTTTATGGTTTCAAGCACAAAATTCCATTTTCGGAAATTTGAGGTGTCTTACTAGTTGACCATACTATGCAAGAGAATTAATTTAGCCAACAATAATGGTGAAAGTGGTCTTTTATGCGATCGAGCAATACACAGTTGCCACCTTACATCGCCAGAAACCTTCGCTTGGACCTCGGAGCCGACTTGGTTATGATTCAGATTGGTTGGGGTAGATGGTTCTGCAAATTGAAATGTGGTATCAGAAACTCCAGGTTTTCTTCTAATTTGCAGCTTCCCTGTTTCTTGGATCATGTCAGCCGTCATATGTTCTTCCTATCAAAAAATGAACCATCATAAGACTCCGGAAGCAGAACTCTGAAAATAATGACATGTCATGGATCATTCAGGCAAACAGAGCAAAGGATGATGTTTGCTACCTTTGGATGAAATGCTGCAGATAGTTAATTGAGTTGACAGCTGAACTAAAATCACTAGAATCAATGAGGTTTACAGGAACTCACCTCAAATTCACTTTTGGTTGTGCCACCAATCTCCCTCAGAGAAGAAGATATTTTATCCGATCCTCCCCAAGAGGTTAAGACTTTTGTGCTCTGGTGGTTTTCAGATATTAAAGGTGATTGGAACTGCATTTAGGATTTGAGTCTCAGTATCCAAAGCAATTGCAGTTGTGCAACAACTGGGAAGAGTATGGATCATAATCCAAAGCTTGGAATACTAAAGAAGGTTCACTCCTCCAATGGGAAAAACACCACAGCAAAGCAAAAAGGAAACAAAATGTTATGTCATTAGATCCAAAATCATAGTTCAAGTAAAAGCTACTAGTACATAGACACTAATTTTTCGGTAAGGCATATGTGATCACCCTAAATAATAATTATGACCAGACTTTTTCCGAGAAGCATCGAACCGATCTTAATGTGCCATAACCTCACAAACAAGATTGCCTGATTATTTTGAGTTGAAAGAAACAAATATAAGTATTTCTACCAGATAAAAAATGTGTTCTTCACCAAAGCCATTTGATGAAAGAAAAACTTATCTTGTCTGGCAAAGCCAATTAACAGAAACCTGTTGTGTTCTTGATGTGATAATGCAATTGCTTCCCTCTCCCACCCAAAAAAAAGATAAGGAATCGAATATGTTAAGTGGTATTGATGGACTCAAATGAATTGTTTGGGAGAATGCAACAAGGAGTACCATGGATGATCTTTGCATATACATCAAACAATAGCATGTAATTTCCTCAGACCTCAAATGCACTTAAAGATCAAGAAATTGAGCCTATGTTTCTCTTGATCTATGTTTCAGAGTATATGTCCTTTGCCCAATTGCGTCTTATCTGATGAGGCCTTTTCGAATCGCAAATCAAATAAACCTAATCTAAGATACATCGACTCAAATTCGCATATCGATTTCCATCCCTAAGATGAAGGACACAGGCAAAATTCAGGGATCATGGGACGATCAATCGCTAAATCAACGAAACGAAGATCCCATCGGCGGAATCCGAGGAGCACGAAACGAAGGGAAGAAAGTGGAAAATGACGGAGGAGCGGAGGTCACACCTGGGTACGCCTCCGTCGATCGGAATCCCGGTAGGCGGAGACGGAGGACGATGTGAAGGAAGCGGAGCGGCTATAGGCAGAGGAAGCCCGGGCGGGCTGGGCCGGGAGCGGCGACGGCGGCTCCTCCAAGAACGACCGGCAGTCCTCGAAGGTGGTCGACTTCGTCGCGCTGTGCCTCCTCCGGTACGCCATTGGCCCGCGACGCCGCTGAGCGAACCAAAAGTCTCTCCTTTTGCTCTTCTTCTTCTTCGTCGTCGTCGTCTTCGTCTTCGTCTTCTTCTTCTTCCTCCTCTTCGAAAACTGTACGACTCGCCGTGTAAACAGCCGAAGAGTGCGTGGCGGCACGAAATATATACATCATAAACCAATAAAAAATAGTAATTCCCAACTCACCCAACTCTTCCAACCCGAGAGGCAGAATCGGACCCCTCCACGGGTCCCGCAGAATCTACCTCTTCTTCCCAATCATCATACCGGTACACGAGTGAGTGGTACGAGAACCAGTGCATTAGGTTTTTAAGGAACGCAACCGTCGCAAGGTCGTTGCTATGGCAGTTGGAAGAAAAAAAGAAGAAAACATTATTATTATTATTATTATTATTATTATTATTATTATTATTATTATTATTATTGTTATTATTATTATTATAGTTTCTGATTTTGTAGGAAATGATGAGTATGAGATAAGTGAAAGGATTTTTATTATTTTATTGTCATATGCTATTTGATAATGATATTCATATTTAGTGTTGATGTTGAGGCATGTTCTTCATGTAATATTGGGAATTATTGTATAGAGTTTTGGATTTAAAGACTTTAGAATGGACGGATAAAATTCTAAATTATCCTTTTGAGTCAAATTATCTAAAAAGGATAAAAGATGATGGACTGTCATGGAGAAGGCGAAGGTGGCTTGCAATTTCAACTTGAAGTTTAGAAATGGAAGATTTTGAAATAGGTCTTGATATTTTAATTTGATCAAACATATTCTCTTTGAAGAAGAGAGAAACACACCTCAAGAACTTTGTTGTTTTCTTTCCATGGAAATATAATTAAATTTAAAAATGTATTAAAAAGTACTTGTAACCCCAAAATATGATTTGTAATAGTAGTAACAATACCAATACTATAAATTTTGTATGTTGGTTAGACCTAGAATTAAACCCTAGAAGTAAATTGTGTTGAGATTCTATTTTATTTTATTGTTTGAATTAGAATTTGATTGAATTAGTAATTGGTTAATATGATGACTCACAAATTCAACCCATGAAAAGTGGGTTAAGTCCTATTAATTATAATGATAATCTCATAAATGATTTCATTGATATGTTAATGATTTAATGCATCATTCATCATTCATACTATGAACAAAATTACGATGCCCTTGAAATCTCAAATCACTTTTGTCCTCTCCAAAATGCACTCTTGAAGATATTTTTGGGACAAACATGCACGTGACTTGCGATCTATAGCGAAGACACACATACAAACACATACATAATATGAAATACAACATGAAATATTAGCCATCGATAATAAGAAGAAATTATTTGGTAAAATATAATGTTATTATTTTTGCCATCCATACAATGATAATGATTAGAGATGATGTCTGATTTTAGTTCAAGGATGATCATTTATTGGAATAAGAATTTACAATAATGATTGATTACGTGGTAATATGATGCAAATTATTGAGAAAGTACCAGCTCATCTTTGGCTTGACATGCTTATAAAATAGAATAATCTTCTTAACTCTCTTTACTTTGAATCAATCAATTGGGTTTATAATAATCATTTGATGAATGCATTTTTTTCAGCTAAATCAACACTGACAAAGTTGTGTTGATTGGTGGATGGATCCATTGCTATCTAAATTAATATGATGGGACATTTGGTAGGATCCGATGGGAGACACAAAACATGGATATGGCATGGAAACCCTTATTCCTTTGAACAGGACTTGGAATGGTGACTTGAATGGATAAGTGCAAGAAATCCCACCACCCCAAACACCATGACATATGCGAGGGACAAAGTACGTACTGTGGCTCCTGCTGTATGTGCTGCAACGCTAAGCTTTGATTGGCGCCAATCCATGCATGACGACACCTCTTATTGCACCAGCACCAAATACTATGCTCTCCCTCGGCAGCTTGCGGCGAGCCCTCCACCGTCAGTTTCCCATCTCACCTTGTCATCCGAATGGCGCTCTCTCTCTCTCTCTCTCTCTCTCTCTCTAATCCTTTCCATGTTGCTACAGTAGTACACTGGCATCGGTGGCCCAGGCCGCATGGGGAGCACCACCAATTTCCCTGCACTGTTTACCCCGCCCAATCTGGAGTGAGAAAGGCAGTCAAAGGGGCAGTACGACGCACACTGAGCTCAGGCCTGCACCTGTTGTCAATGCCTCCTTTTAGGCTTTTGGACACACCTCCATTAGATCTCTGCTGCAGCGGGCAGATAACTCGAAGAGGTCGCGCAGATGAATCCTCTTCACGTGTTGGTTGCTTCTACCCCCGCCTGCCCTTTGCGTCCCTCTCTCTTGGTTCTAATTCCCATGAACTCTCTCTCTCTCTCTCTCTTCATCACCCATCCACAGTTCTCATCTCCAAAGGGGGGTTCCACTGTATCAGCCTAGGACGGACCTCTTCTATATATCTCTCATTCCCCTTCTCTTGGTTTATGCTCATCTCTCCTCTCTTTTCTTTCTTGTTTCCGACTCATGTCATGTGCAGCCTCTCTTCCGGATTGACCTTTTATTTTGATCGGTATCTTCTTATCATTCTTCTCTTCTTCCTTCTTTGACATGCTTTATGGTGATTTATACAGCCTTTTTTTGTGCCTCGGTCATGCACATATGTAGTGTCTTGGGTGGTCAACTCTTGTTGTCTTTCTTCGTCTCTTGGAAGCTCAAAATAGGGTTGGAAGGAAATTATCTGTATGTTTAGGATCATATCATCCTGCGATGTTTCTCCTTTATTATCATCATGTTCTCAGAAATGCATGTACTGGCTATATTTCTGCCCTTTTCTTTGCCTGTTGACATGTGTGCAGCTCTGCCTGGTGAAGATAGAAATTAGGGTTTCGTAGATGGGGTTACTCATACTAAAGACCCCTTCCATTGCTGGGAAGAACTGTGAAGGTCAGACTTCTCTCTTTTCCTCTCTCTCCTTCTCTCGTTCTCCTCTTTCTCTAGATCTACACTGTAGTTTCTTCAAGCACTGTGTTTCTGAAGGGATTGATGACCAAAATCCATGTTTTTTCCTTCTTTTCTCTCTCTCTCTCTCCGTCTCTCTCTCTCTCTCTTTCTCTTTCTGAGGATGAGTTTTATTAACTCGCTGCAGCTTTTTCCATGTAAACTTAGAACAAAAAACATTAGCTGTTGTAGCTCAAATAGATAGTTGGGAATGCTTCCTAAAGATTTGGAATCCCCATAAAGTTGAGCCTGCAATCAACTGTATTATCTTATGTTTATTGCTTCTTTTTTTTCACATTATTACGATTTTTCACCAAATTTTGACTGTTCGTTTTTGTTAGAAATGTTGTTCTTCGCATGTTTCCCTCATCTGCACGCTTAGTTGAATTATGGTTGTTGATTTATCCTAGAAAATATCCCTTCAGAAAGATTTACATCCAAAAGATAAGATGATATAACTCTGCTCTACTCGTTGCCAATGATAAACCCATGCAGTTCTTCTTGCGTTATGCTTAGGGAAGGTAAGACTGCAAGATGATTCTGCTTCCTTGCAATCTGTAGACACAGAAACTGCACAAGCATATGGTAAGGCTGTTCTTTGTTGTTAGGAATGTGAAGTTCTTGACATCTTATCCTCGGTAACTCTACCAATCTCGTAATTAAATTCGATGTTTCGCGATATCAAAAGAAAATTCTACATGTGATTTGCGAAGTAATTTGTTCTTATGTCTGTCTTCCTACTAAAATAGAATCTGAAAACCGTGTTTGAGAGAGCTTCCTTCAGTCCACTCATGGATGGTTGTAGGGTTTGAATCAGCTGCCGACTCATTCGCTCAAACACCCAGTAGAAAGGAAGCGGACACAATTCTCTACTCCACATGGCAGCAGAAGGAAAAGGGTTTGGGTTCTGAGATTGCTACTGTGTGAATGAGTGAATGATGCGGGAGATTATTCTCTCTCTTCCATTCCATACTTGGACTGAAGGGAGCTCCCTCTCTCTCTTCTTTTACATGCGTTGGCCATTGCACCTCTTCCTCTATCTTCTTCCTCCTTCACCATCTTCTTCGAAGCAAGATAACATCCCAGGAATTCAGCGAGTAGTTATGAACCCAATCTCAAGTTGGAACTCGAGAGATGATATTGTGGCCTCCTCCCTCATCTTTGGCAATCCCTTTCTCATCTCTGCCCATCTTGAAACTTGAGCAAGGCACCATAATTAAGAGCTGCACTTGTAGATTTGTTTCAAGGCTCGGCACTGTGTGTGTCTCCACCACTGCATCAAAGATTTGAAAAGATTCAGGATGCTGCTCCTCGTGCATCAACAGTGAAAGTACAGTTCTGCTCAGGTCTACAAACTCAAAATGAGATGTCATCAGTGCTGTCCGCATGTGGTTCTTTAGAATTGTAGTCACTGTTTTGGATGCTCTCTCTTCCGCTCTGCAAATTAAATATTGCTGATGTCTTCAAAGATTGCCTGTAAAGGTGTTGATCACACGAGACATGGCAGTGACATTTGTGACTGCAGCGTGTGGAAGTACACACCACTTCATTATTTTGTTTACTGTGTATTGAGCTCTGCCTTCTGTATGATTCACACAGGTGTAACATCGAACGTTGCAAAAGCTGCAACAACTGTCCCTCGCCATGTTTCCTGCTTTCCTTGTTGCCTTTTGGCGTTCTACACGGTTCGTAACTATGCATTCATTACTCTTAGATCGTATGATGTGTATTCGAGTCTCCCCCGGCCACATCATGGTCACTCGCGAGGGAGGGGAACCGATCCGTCTCCTCCGTCGTCTTCAACCCCCGTCTCCGGTGAGGCCGTCGCTTCGCCTCAGAAGCGTCGAACGACTTGCGCTTGTCTTCCCTCAGGGAGCCATCCCCTCGCCTCACCAGCTCACCGAGCCCCCTCATGGCTGCCTCCTGGTAATGGCCGATGCACTCGGGCCATACCGCACAATACTACGGCCTGCGTCAGCCCTCTCCATTGTTTTACTTTGATCGAGGAGGATGCCACCAACAAGATAGTATGGCTTTGTTATGGACTCATTGTCTAAGGAACTGTAGCTGCTGTTGATTGTTGTAGGTCAAGGCCAGGTTGCATGGATCAAAATTCGTCTTCGCTATTTATATGTATCCTCTAATCACATAGATAATAGAAACACTATCTACGAATTATTTTCATGTCGAATTATTATCCGTCAAGCAAATAAAATTCATCCGAAAGTTTTTAATAGAAATATCATGTACAAATGTCGACTGTATACGTGCACGACTCGTATCTATATCCATACCTAATACATGGACAGCACGGTGCTAGCACCGGCTTCCCCTCACCCCCCGTGAGGTTAGAGGTTTGTCTTATACGTACAATCCTGGCTGCGCACGCTGAGGTCGGAGACGCCGATGACCACGTGGCAGTCGGAGGTGGCCACTGCGTGGCGCTTTATGAACCCCATGAAGGTGACCCGACCCGGCAGCCTCGTCACCGTGTCGAATGCCACCGCCCCCGCGACGACGTCCGACAGAAGGCTGCCCAGCTCCGCCACGATCCGGTCCACCTCCACCGCCAGGGCGAGCTGGAGGAGCTCCGACCCCCGAGACGGGATCCGGCCGGGCGCCACGTCGGCCTCCCCGACCTGGGTTCCGCGGTACAGAAGGCTGGTGCGGCCGCCGGGGGCGTGGGTGAAGGCTGCGTAGTTGCGGTTGTGGACGCGCACCGCCAGGTCGAGGGTCACGTTGAGCTCCACGCGCAGGGCGGGGAGATCGACGCGCGGAGAGACACCGGAGACCGTGACGGAGACGAGCTCACCCGTCGGTTCGCGGATCTTGAAGACGGTGAGTGCGAGGACGACGGCGGTGACCACTAGGAGGACGAGGATGAGGATGCAGAGAACGCAGCAGAACCAACGTCGGCGGCGCCTGCGTTGCTCTAAGCCACCGGATTCCTTCATCGTAGACGAGAGAGAGAGAGAGCGAGAGTGAGTAAGGGGGATGGATGTGGTTGTGGTATTAATGACTTGGAGCTGCCAACAACCTCAAATAGACATACATTTATAATAAAATAATACTAATTTTAAGTTTTTTCTGCTGTTATTTCTTGTTTAATTTCCATAAAAATGTCAATTGAAGGAAGAAAGAAATTAGTCACTTGTATTAGATTTTATAATATTCATATTTTTTTACTTTTTAATAAAATATTTTATTTAAATATTTTAGGTTGAATTTTAAAAAAATTTAAAGTTTAAAAAATTTTCATACAACACTCTCACTTTGAAATTTTTTCAAAAAATAATTTTTTTATGACTATCCTATCTGTATCGACTAAGGCTCTTTGTTTTGCCAACTGACCTCCTCCCTTAGTTGCTTATATCTTTTATGTACAAGTTAGCCCCGTCGACCACCTCCTTTGTGTGTGGGCTATCCACGTTGATGCCTCTACAAATAAGCTAATCCCATTGGCCTCCTTTGTTCCCATGTATGATGCCCTGGGATTCGACAATGGTAGCTAGGGCTAGTATGGGCATCCATTCTTGCGTCTATAATATTTTTGGATCGAATGAGAGCGTAAGAATGATGATGGAAGTAATAGAAAAAGAAGACAATAGCAAAAGCGACAGATGATGCACAATGGGAGGTAACAGTGAGTCCAATAATGATAAGGATAAAACGATGATTAAATTTTTTTAAAAATTAAGTTATTAGAAAAATCCTCAAACTTATAAACTTTTTTCAAAAATTCACCTAACATTTTAAGAACAATTCAAAAGCATTTAATTTAAATATAATTAAGACATTACACATTAACTTTGCTAAGTCTAGACTTTATAATATGCATTAATATCATATCATCCAACTGTTCCAAACGTTAAATTAACCCAATCGGTTGGCCACTCATCTTTCTTGCACAACTTTATGACCATTATACTAAACCAATGTGCCCATGTCACATTTCTCTGAGACATCACGAAATGAGAAAAGGATTGCACCCACCACACTAAATTAATAATATTGAATTAACTCCGAAATAATTAACCATTAACATCAAGAGTCTCAAGATTATACATCATAATCCAAGTCCCAAGGTCACACCTTTGTAAGTGAGATGGAGGTGTCGAATGCAGATCCAACGTGAGCGATGACAAACCCATAGATCTTGCGTTTCAGACGCTCGATCTTCTCCCTCAGAGTCTCCCCTCCGTCAGCTGTTCTTCCTACCCCGTCCAGCCAATCATTGATCCGCTTCAGCTGCGACAGAACTGCTGCTACTTTGCCGCTGTCCTTGCGATTAGCCTCCCGAGCATTGTCCGTGGTCTCGCCAAACAAACGGAATCCACCATCGATTGCTACCTCCACGAACCTCAGAAACCAAATCTGCATTTCATGTCTGAGGGCTCTGCCGAGGTCCGCTGTTTCACTCACGCCATGGCCTCTTGTCCAGGTGTTAGATGTGGAACAAGGAAGAACCTTGTACTGGTGGCTCTTTGCAGGAGTTCCAAAGGATTGCCTCTTCGACAGGCTTGTTCTTGGAGGATCTACTTGTTTCTCTGAGGCCTTATGCTTCGGCAGGCGCGCGTTGTTTAGCAAGTGGATGACTTCAAGGTCTGTGGCTAAGGCTGCCTCAACCCAGAGAGAAGCCAGTCTGCTCCGCTCGGTTAGTGTTGCGTCCTTCAGTCCATCACCACCATTGCGGTTGGCACAGAGAGACTCGGCGACGGTGCTACACTTCAAAACATCATCGTAGATGGATAGAAATCGGTCGATAGTTGGCACGGGGTTGCTGGTCTTGGACAGTGAACAGAGTTCAGAAAACATGCTGAAGAAGAAATAATTAGCAGTGGATTTAGTCGATCACAAAACATAATTGGTCTCCTTTTCAGCATTAAGATACCCAGAAATGGTCACCTTAGACTCCTGACGACGGATTCAGTGACCAAGGCCTCTTCCAAAGCCTCAGCAGCAGCTACGGAAGCAATGCTTCTTCTTTGAAGAGCCTCCTGCATGTTCCAGCAGCATATAAGAACTCAACAACACAGAGACCATAAACCGAATTGTGGAAATCTATGGAGCAGCACATAAGAACTCAAGAACACAGAGACCATAAACCGAATTGGAGCAGCTATGTCTACCTTCCCAAGCCTTGCGAGGTTATCAGAGACGCAGTTGAATGGGATGCTGCCGTCAGTCCACTTCCTGTCATGAACAGTAATTCTAGGGGCCATATAGTTCTTGTCTGACTCAGAGAAGGATTCAGTCTTCCTGCTTGTTCTCCGCTTCTCATCGGAAGATGCTTCCGCGCTATTTGCTTGTACTCCTTCAGCATCGCTCAGTCGCCTTGATATAGCAGCCTAAAATAGTTTTTGAAGAACAAAAACACGGCTTTCTGATTTATTCATCAACAACTAAAAATGAAGATTATTAGATAATAAATTGAGAAAATACATGGAGAAAGACAAGAAAAAGTATCACTAAAGATGGTTTAAGCTGCATGAATTCAAGAATAATATAGACATTCAACATGCTCAATGATTGTACCACAAGACACAGATCATAAACATGTATTCATTTTATTTGTCACAACTTGGAAATATCATCCAGCATCTGTCAAAAAAAAAACCATTAATGTATGATGCTCAAATTGTATGCTCAAAAGGACTGAATTGTAGATTTAACTTCTTCTAGAAATTAACAACTACACAAATGGTTAAGAAAATTAGCAAGCAACTAAGCGGATACCTAATTGTTCCCTCAGGTTATGATTGAGATGGATAACATACTCTGCTGGATCTCTTTGCAATGGCATTTTCATGAACTTGCAATAGCTAATGAAAACCAAAAAGATAAGGTGATTATTGCACTCAATGTTTCTCTCTCAGTTGCATGTCTAATGAGATTCATCAAAAAGGTGATATCTTTCACCATTTGCATGTTTAAATCAGCATAATACCAGTAAACCAGTTATGAAATCGATGACTACTCTTTAGAAAATCTAAGTTGTCTATTGTGATTCCCAAAATTACTGCACTCAGTACAAGGAAGAATGAATAGAATTGAGTACCTGAGTTCTCAAAAATGATTCTTTGTCCAACTTGCTCTTTGATCCTTCCTTCTCTTTTGGCTCAGAAGCCACAACCGAGCTCGGCGAAGAATCGTCCCAGCTCTTCCTGATGGACTTCACAGATGCCACGAGCGAATCGGACCCCCTTGAGATCCCTGCAACCACCAGTCCTATCTTCTTCTTCCCTCCACCGTCTCCAGTTGCCGGTGAGGCTACCTTCAACCCGCCTGAGAGCCTTCTAGCTGGAGACATGGAGCCCCTCCTCCCCATTGGCGATGCAGCGGCCTTACGCCCCACTGGCGACGGCTGCCGGTACCTCGACGGCACTATGATGGCGGGCTCCCTCGCTACCCTCCGATTATCCTCCTTGGCCCCCACCAGACTCGGCACCTCGCATTTGGACGGGACGGGGGACGACGGCCTCGAGCTGGCCCTCCCTCCTAGTGCAGGTGAAGAAGGCCGTGAGCTAGTCTTCAACGCCGGGGATGGGTCGCGCAGCTGCTCCCCCGTGCCGTTACCGCTGCCGGGGCCATTCTTCCGGGCGGTAAGTTTCGATGTGGCAGTGGACGAGAACCGGCGTGGCTTTCCAGCAGCATCACTCTGGTTCTTGCCGGAGCCGACGACCACGTTCTCCTTGGCAGCAAAAACGGTTCTTTTCTCTTCCTCCAGGTGGGGGAGATTGGACCTGTGGGAGGCGGATGGGAGGAGGGGAGGGCCAGACTCGGCGGGGGATGCGGCCTGGATGATAAACCCACGATGGTCAGGGGCGGAGAGGGCAACGAGGGGGTCAGGCGAGCCGACGAAGGGGTGGGGACGGGCGCCGGGGACGGGGCGGAGGCCTACGGCACGGGGAACAGGGTGGGCAAACCGGAGGCGGTCGACGTGGACGAGCTGGCCGAGCTGAGCGCGGCTGGAGAGTACGGCGTCAGCATCGGCGTCGGAGAGGGAGACGTAGGTGGAGTTAACAGAGTCAGAGAGCTGGAGGTAAAATCCGTGGGAGGGCCAGAGGTCGTCGCCAGTGGAGGCCGAGAGGGCGGGCACGATGCCAACCACCTGGAGAATCGCCGACCGGTGCTCGCCGGCGACCCTGGCGTCGGTGTTCATGGACTGGAGCAGCTTGAGGAGGACGCCCGGCGTGAGCGACGCCATCTGATACGACTCCCACGACTTGTTCGACGAAATGTCGAATGGAGGGGGGAGAAGGAAGAAGTGGGCGTTGTGCGAACGTTGTGGAAGAGGGGGGGGGGGGGGGGGGGGAGTATGCATATAATATTGCATTCAAATTTGAAATGCCCGCCTTTCCAAGTACGGCGTCATAAAATGGCGAATGAGGAGGGATTTGGGGGGTTGTATTTGGTACGAGAAGGGATCAACGTCACAAGGAATACGGCTTGTTAGAACACGCAGTTATGGGAGATCGTTACGGGAAGGGATGGCAGTGGATTGTAATTTTATTGGATTTCAGATTTATCTGAATAATTAAATTAGGTAAATCATTTTTTTTAATTATGATTCATATCTTTTTCAAATAATCCACATCTAACCTCAAGTAATATATAGTTTTTTTATTTTCTTGGAAAAAAAAATGATGCAATTTTTATGGCTCGCATACTACTCGGATGCATCATGCATTTATTTACTACTGCAACCTGCATCAATTTCATGCAATTTACCATGTAATCAAATAAGCTGCAGTGCAACCACAAAAGCAATCTACCAAAACTATTTGCACAATTCAATGGGGGATATTGTTTCACAACCACTGGTATCAGCAAGTAATTGCATCGCAAGAAGATTATTTGGACATCTCCGCTACGCGTATTATGATAGTGAGACATGATTCTCATCTTAAGATAACTACTGTTATTAGTCGTCGATTACTTCGATAAGGGTCGTCTCGTAGTTGCTTGGTGCCTCGAATCCATGCAGATTCATGATGGTGGCAGCAACATTGGCGAGACCACCATTAGGCACATCATTGCGGAATCTGACACCCGGTGCAAGTCCAGGGCCGCCTATAGCTATCGGAACCTGTAAAAATTTTTCATGATCAATATCACATATTCCATCAACCCCGGAGTCAAAATTTTATTTTTATAATGACAATGATGACTAAAATATAATAATTCCAATGCAAAGTCAACTAATCCTAAAACCTTCAGAGATATGACCATCATGAATCTCCAATATAAAGGACTCGAATGACAGAAATATGATTACTCTAAGATGCTAAAAGCTATAAGCTGCTGATGAAAGCTCAATACTTCAATTTTGCCTTGCATCAGATTATATTGATAGAAATAATAGAAGATAAGAACAATAATTGAAGAAGCTTTATTGTAGAAATGAAATAGCTTTAGCTTGAATCTATTAACATGTTCCCTCTCCTATTTATACAAATTAGGAGGAAGGATTTCCCTAACAGAATAGAGGATTTTCCTCATATAGTTAGGAAAATCTTATCTTCTATCATGCCCCCGCAAGATGGTACTCCTGATAAGGATACCAATCTTTGGATCGATACAAAGGATACCAATCACAGCAGCAGCAGCAGCGATCTACACTTATCTTACTCATGAAGCCTCTTAGGAATGCAACGGCGTTGGTCGCTGGCCGAAGGGTGAAGCTTCACTTTTCTCAGCGACGTTGGTCGCTGGCCGAAGGCAAGAGCGAAGCTTCGCTTTTCTCAACGACGTTGGTCGTGGTTGTGATTACGACGGCTGCGACGGTAGAGAAGAAATCTACAGTAATGTTGCAGTGATGCTACTACAGCAAAGGAGGAAACTGCAACAGAGGAGGAAGCAGGAAGCTGTAGCAGAAGAGGAAGGAAAATAGCTACAACGAGGAAGAAAGGTGGGGCAGTGCTGATGAGCAGCACTAGAGATGCTGTAGTGGAAGGGAACGGACGTTGGCGCAAAGTGGCAACACCAATGATGAATTGGCAACAAGAAGAGAGCTTGCTCTAGGCAAGTGGCTCTGATACCATGATAGAAATAATAGAAGATAAGAACAATAATTGAAGAAGCTTTATTGTAGAAATGAAATAGCTTTAGCTTGAATCTATTAACATGTTCCCTCTCCTATTTATACAAATTAGGAGGAAGGATTTCCCTAATAGAATAGAGGATTTTCCTCATATAGTTAGGAAAATCTTATCTTCTATCATATATAACTTCCCACATCAATGAACTTGTCCCTCTTATGGCCCTATCGAATTAAAGCTCTTGTGCTCCATAAGTCTAACTCCGATATAGGCATCGGGACAGTCTCAAGTCAACCTTGTATGTATCTACATGACTTGTTTATGGTATGAAGAAGATACGATCGTCACGTATTGCATGAATTTGGCACACCAAAGCATTTAGACTACTGTATCTCTTTGTTTTGAGTTACATATCCCCCTAAAAAGGATAGAAAATAAAATAATAAAAAAGAATTAAAGTGGTGGTTCCTGCAGCAATATAAATATGATCCTTAGATATGCTATTAAACAAATGACAATACTAATGTTACTCGTAAGTTCCGAAGAAAGATGTTTTCAGTAATGCTTACAGGTTGAAGAGTATGGGAAGTGAGAATCTGAACGTTCCCTGCTTTGTCATATACTGGCTGGCCAGACTTGTTCCTCTTTACCATGTCTTCAGCATTTCCATGATCTGCAGTGACAACGTAAATGCCACCAACTTGTTCTATAGCATCCAAAATGATCTGTAATGAACGGCACCATGCCCTTTAATTCAGGAATTATTAATTTAAAGATAAGAACAAATTGACGATATGAGTTATTATTTACTAGCATGAAAATACAGGTAATTGTCTGACTGACAGACCTAGGATCAAAAGAAAAGATACACCAGCTACAAAGAGAATTGATTACAGAACTAAAACACTTCTTTATGCTCGGTTTGAAGAGTTGTCTATGTGGTTCATTTCTTAGCAAAGAGTTCAGTTGACCTCTAGAACCAAATGAATAGCTTTCTGCAATTTAACAGGTTAAACAGGGGGAATCAGGGGCAGGTTTTAATTGTAAATATTCTCTGTATATCCATCATGAAGGAAGCATCAACTACAGAAGCATAAATCTCGGAACAAAAGTCACTGCAACTATTAAAAATTACCTTAACAGCTTCATCAGCAGCCTTGCAACCCACAATAGTAGCCTCTATGTCACCAGTATGTCCTACCATATCTCCATTAGGTAGGTTCACACGGACCTGTGAGAATGTCACAAACGAAGTAATGCAGGAAACTGATATGCTTGTTCCTAAGAACATATTTCTTTACCTGGTCGAACTTGTGACTGAGTATGGCATCTCTTGCCTTTTCAGCAATTTCCACAGCCTTCATCTTGGGTTGAACATTGAATGTAATTCCACTGTCACTAGGAATTTCGACATATTCTTCCATAGTCGGGTTAAAGTACCCTGATCGATTTCCATTCCAGAAAAAGGTGACATGACCAAATTTGACAGTCTCACTGTTGGAACAAATTAAATAGCTCTCATCAGTATGCCAGGGTAGATGCCATATAATTGATAGTAAGATTAGCTAAAAGCATTCATTCAGGATCAGCATGTTTGTACAAAGCATGATTTGGTACACATCAAGTGCATGGTTTTAAAGAACAGTTAGTCCAAATGTCAAGTGTCTTACATGAAAGGAAAAGTGAGAGGAATATTGCAAGACACTTAACTTTAAGTGTCTTACTTCAGCAAGAATACTGTAGTATCCAGGAATCTTGCAAGACACAGCACTTTCAATAAAGAACATCGTGGCACCTCAACATTCTTATGTTGTTTCTCTTGACAATGAAGATGCAAAATAACTTAAGACCTAACAAATAGTGATCAATAAAAAGTTCTTAAGCTGGCTTAGAAAAACCAATCGCGCAATTGATAATCTAATAAGAAGATGGATGAAAGAAGTAACCCCTACTTTTGCTTAATACAGGATGTGCATTTTCATTGGCAAATACCAAAACAACATGGAATATACAAATACATGAAATGCTATAGCATAATTACCTGCAAGCAAAGGTACGGATACCATTGTGTACTAAATATTCGCCTGATGTCCTCTCTATCTCTGGAGGAGAAACGAGGTACTGGCTAGGTAGTTTCAGTTCACCATCGTATTGAAGCATTCCAGCATATCGAATTTTCGGGAATCGAACACGATCAAATTTGTCAAAGTCTATATATTCTAGTGCTTTAGCAACCATAGCCATACGATCTGCTCGGAAGTTGAAGGTTACAACAGCATCACCGTCCACTATTGGACCAACTGCCTTGCCACTTTCATCAACTATAACAAATGGAGGCAAGTACTGATCATTGGCTTTGGGATTTTCTCTCAGCTTTTTCACAGCTTCAACAGCACTTTGAAACTTATGTGGTGCTTCACCAAGTACCTGTGCATCCCACCCCCGCTTGACGACATCCCAGTCATTCTGCAGAATGCACAAGTGAAATACATGATGAATGCTTGAGCATAGTTTTGAAAAAGCAACAGCAATCAGAAACATGAAATCACCGAAAGTGGATATTTTCTTTTCTAACAACTGTTTTTTCTGAATTTCACATAGGGAAAATAATTAAAAAAGAATTGGATATGCAAAGAGATACCTCGTATCGATCCATAGTAACATACATTCGACCACCACCAGATGCAATTTGTGCATCAACACCTTTCTCTCGCAGCTTAGCAAGATCATTCTCCAGTGTTTCCACAAATCCAACACTGGAGCCATCCAAAACATCACGGCCATCGGTGAGGACATGTACACGTATTCTTTTGGCACCATGCTCGCTAGACCCTTTCAGAAGCAACTGCAAGAAAAAAACAATTCATCAATATAATTACATATAGCAGCAATCAAAGAAAAAAGAGGGAAGACTTTTGCATACCTGCAACTGATCTAGTCGTGAGTGTACACCCCCATCACTCAATAGTCCAATGAGATGTAGAGTTCCTTGATCAAAGCACTCTTTGATATACTTAAAGCCTTCGCCTTCATAAATTTTACCAGAAGCAAGTGCAAGATCCACTAGCTTGGCACTAGAACAGAAAAGAGAATTTATGAAAAAGCCTAAGACCAAGAAGGCAACCTTTGCAGAATATTGGAATCCCATAATAATAATAGACAGGATGGCCTATACCAATACCAAAGCCAAGCTTTGGATAAAAAAGAATGCCAATGTAAGCTCTGGAAAGAAATCCTATAGAGTACCACAAGGTTTAGACAATATGAAATCTAGTTTTAGGTAATCTACCCTTGAGCAAAAATCCTTCCTGCCCCTAGTGCATTGTGGCCTACTTCACTGTTACCCATGTCATCCTCAGTAGGAAGCCCCACAGCTGTTCCATGAGCTCTAACCAGCCTCCATTTGTCTGGGGCACCTTTTTAAAAGACAGAAAGAGACTGTAAATGATATTGTTTGTAGGTACTGAACAACATCGATTTAGTTCGAATCACAAATGAAAACTAAAAACAAACGATTGTTCTTTTAATCCATACCAAATGTGGAACTTGCCGTAGTAAAAAACCTTACAAGTGAAAATGTGGCAAATTCAGATATGTACACAACTAAAAGATTGATACCATAATCTATACACTCAAAAACAATTTGACTGTATACAAGGTCACCAATTCGATGCCATTTAGGTTTCTCAACATCTGTCGATACTGTGACCTGTAAGAGTAATTCTAAGCAGTGAGGTTAGACGCCATACGTCTAACATAGCATTGTCAAATTCATGTCCATAATAAGTAAAAATCAACTAATGAACTTACATTATTCATACTGTCGAATAATCAGCATGATTACAATCGAGACACAGAAGCCTTATGTCCAACCAATTATATGCATTATGCAAAACAAAATCACATCATGAAACTTTAAGAAATATTTAATGTTCTTCGTAAGGAAACAAAGATAACATGATGACCATTTAGTGAACTTTGAAAAACTTTAAAAGGAATGTGGTCATAAATAAGATGTGCAACAGAACATAAGCATTCAAAACAAGCTGACATCTAAACAGAGCAAACAAACTTGCACAGCAAGAACAAAACAAGTCCATCGTGGAAACTAAAATCCTAGTTATTGCATTGCAGGGATAACCATAAGTCGACATGGAGAACATACATCGGACTATGATCCACAGAAAAAAAAGGAGATCTTTTGTGCGGGAAGAACGTGCACCTGCTTGAGCGAATCCATGGTGGGAGTCTCCGCAACATGAATGCAGTTGTATTTGTCGGGGTTCGCTTCGCCCCATCCATCCAAGACCACAACGGCCACGGTCTTCCCTTTGGGAAGCTTGGGATGATCTGCCAATTTCCACGAGAAATCCGAGTTGCCCATGTAGCCAAATACTTCTAATACGCAATATCTTCAAGCACAAAGGCACAAATTTTCGCAGCAATCAATAAGAAATAGGACCAAATACGAGCAAAACAATCATCTTTACAGTCTTCGAGCAAGAAAAAATCAATTGATCCAGTTCGAAAGGAAACAAAACAATAGAAAACAGATGCAGTGGCCAGCGGACAAAATCGATCAGAGAAAGAGCCGAAGAGAACAGATCTAAGGACAAAAAACGAATGTCCATTGTTAAATGAAATGAATCCACAGACAACCACAAAGAGCCATCAAAAAGGGTAGAGGGGGGGGCGAAGGAAGAACAGATACCTGTGTGAGATTTCTCGAGGAGGAAAAGACGGGCTTATGCTCTATATTTATAGAGAGCAGACGGGAAGCGTCACTTCCCATGCTTCGTTACTCACACCCATATTTTGTTGCAACTCACTTCCATCATTGATCTCCGGCTCTGAGAGGAGCTCCGGGGCGGGCGTACATGAGAAACAAACATGGGTAGCAATAGATAAGGCGTGAATTGGTGCATCACCTGACGCCGATTTTTTATGTTCTCGCGGCTCGTTCAAACTAACCTGTCCTGAGTCTGTACGTCCGTTGATTACGTGATGTGCGGCGTTCGTGGCCGCCAAAATTGCCGAAGGGGGTTTGTCGCCGCTTGTGGGCGGACGATACCCGATGCACCCGCAGGAAGCTTACAACTACGGGATTTAGTTCACAGCATTCTCCCTTCAACTGACGTCGCAGTACCCGTTTGTCAACTAGCGTTGGTAATTCTGCTATCATAGTGGGGTCCAGTTGGCCATCGTATCACAAATAAGGTGATTCGGTGGGTGCTCGAGTGAGACATAAGAGAGTAGCCGCGGATTCGGATCTTCTTATCCTCTTAACAGTTTCTTTTTCTTTTTTGCAGTCATTCCTAAAAGAAAATAAATACTAAAAATAATTAGATTAACCGATAGAGAGAAATTTAATATTTTGTTAAAATAAAAGTATAGAATTACTTAAGGTAAGTTTTCAGGATGACACAAACATGCTGCTAAATCAAGACATGTAAGTTTCCAATGCATGCCACAGCGAACTCCTATCTCTCACAGTGAACTCTGAATTGTTGGAAGACGAAGTGACTTCGACAAGATATTAGGTTGACTAAACCATCCAAGAAATCTTTTCGGGTAATGTGGTGGGATCTACCCATGTGAGCTCCATGTGTCGGGTCAACGGGAGATCATATCACCCCGAAGGATTTCTACAGTTCAGTCAACCTTTTTTCGTTGACCAAGAAGTAAAATGATGATACTCGAGCTAAAGCCAGACGATGAAGAAACTAGCTTTTGCACAGTTAGGGTTTGAAGTGGATGCGAGAAAGCTTGTTTCTTGACTCAAGATCTACACAGACTCCACCAGTAGCAGGCGGAGTATAGTGACAGCTGAGTCATATCGCGGTCGGATAAGGTCAACGCCAATCGAACAGTTGGAATGTCAAATACCGTAGCCATCACCATCTCAAGCTCAGTGGAAGCAGAGTGCCATGTTAGTGATGGATCCACCGAAGGCCAAGAGTGACACTTTGCGCGAACAACTGCGATCACATTGCAGCAGCTCTTGTGATGGGGATCAGCACATATTCAGCGATAGAGGATGCTTAAACTACTTGAGATGAACAGGCCATGAAATCTAACAAGGAAAGAAGCATCGGAAGATTTTAGCTTAAATATAGATAGACTAATGAGCAATTGTAGCTCAAATGCTGTGAGTTCAGCTAATGTACATCAACAAATTAGTTCCATGTAATCCCACCCACACTCGATAATCTGCCAGAAACAGCAAGCAGCTTGGTGTGTCAGGTAGGAGATCGAAGAGCTGTGTCAGAGAGAGAAGGCTTCTAACAGATGCGGTCCATGACGACCAGGAATGCCATGATCAGCTCAGCATCCTTGTTTGGCTGAATGATGAGGCTGAAAACATCATCACTCAGAGTGACCGACTCGTTCACTTCCTTGCGAAAGATTCGAGCTACTTCCTGACCATCCCTGTCCATGATCTTGCAGTTTCTTCTCCTGAAGCAGCCTTCAGTTCTGAAATCGGGCTCCGGCGATCGGCGGTCTGGAGCGTCCATGAACACCTCGGCCTCATCACCACCTTGAAGGACTGATCGCCTCCTCATGGAGAAAACTCGAGGGCTGCTACTAGTTTCGACGTCATCTTCGCCTTTGAATCCGCTCCATCTGTCATGCATGCTCAAGATCTGGTAGATACGCGACAGACGCAATTAGCTGTAAAGATTCACGAAGGAGGTAGGAGAAGCTGGAGCCTGTGCGCCCTACCTGAGGCCTCAGAGCCATGACGGCCTTCCCATCTCCATCCATCAGCAGGATCTCGCCGGCGAAGCACTTGTGCTTCCTGGAATAATTGTCGACACGGAATGCTAGTCTTCCCTTGCCGTCATATATCGAGAATCCATCCGATCCGTGAAAACCCATGCTCGACTTCTTCCACACCGTCCATACCGATGGAGAGTTCGTCGTCGTCGTCGTCGTCGTAAGCTCTTCTTGATCATCGATCTTGCTCACTGTAGGATGAATCTTGGACATTCTGTCAGCAGTCGCAGGACACAAAGAAGGGGGGATGGACACTCTTGTAATCGATGGACAGAAGGTGAGGCTGTTTCTTTTATTGCTGGGGACACCAAGCATACGTAAACAGTAGTATATGTATAGGCTCGTAGTCTTAGTTTAGGATCTACTTGACATCGTGAGTGGAAGTCACGTAGGATTTGGACTTTGTGATGTCATGTCTGCTTGTTTTTGTCATGCAGAAGAAGAAGATGATGTTGCAGGGAATGGGCTTCAAGTGGTAAAGAGGAAGAACATGGCAATCAGTACATGGAAGCTGTTTTGAGGTGATTCAAAAGAGCAAAAGCTGGTTATTCTTTTCATATAATACAAGGACTGACGTGCCAATCACAACTTACATGGTAGTGACTGTGATGCCATATGTTTCCTTGGAGAGAGAGAGAGAGTGTGTGTCAAACTTTGTTACCTACTGACGACGCATTGAAGAAAAGAGAAGTGAGATATATTAATTTTATATTACTGAATAATTTACTATTTTAAGGAATCCACTGATGAGATATAGAGTTTGTAGGAAAAAGATGTATGAGTTTTTTATTTTTATTTTATGATCAAATAAATTAGAACTAATTGTTTTCAAGTGAGAGAAAATTTTGTCATGTGAAAACTGCAAGAGGCAAGAAAAAATGTAGTATAATTTTAAGTAGGGAAACCATCATGATTTTTATAGGGTGAAATGAGCATAAATTCCCCTAAAAAGATACAAATTGAATTCTCTAACATGTGTTAGAATCTTGAATCAAATAAGTATTCTAATGCATCAACAAAATGTTGAAATTCATTAAATATTAAAATTATGAGGTGTCAATCCCACCACAACAATCATTACTTTGCCTGAATAGTATTTGAATTGGTTCAATTGACCAATTGAATTGACTTGAGGCAAATCTATGTTTTGACTAAATTCTAATTGATATAAAATCAATTTCCTTGGAATAAATATAAATTGGGTCCAAACCACTATGAATTAGTTTTTTTATATATATTTTTATACAAAAAATAAAAACCAATTGATTTCAAGATTTGAGACAGGTAACCTTACAAAGAATACAAAAAAATTATGTAATCAATATCTAAATTCATAAACATGAAAAAACTTGAACCTATAATATCATAATTTATGAATCTAAAATCTGAAAAATCATGAAATCTATTTAGAAAACATCACAAGAACAAGATAGATCAAGTATTGTAAATATGCATGAACAAGTTTAATCATATGAATAATGCATCGTTAAATAAATCTTATTATTATAATTTTATATCAGCAACATACTTTTAATATTTAAAATCATGAACAAGCAATACTGAAAAAATAAAATAAAATTAAAAGATAATAAACGGAGAAGATTGAGAGTACCCACTTTTCTTCCTAGTCTCTCTTTGTTAGCCATCAACCTTAGGCTCACTCTTGATGAATAAGGATCTGTTTGTTATTTTATATGTGAGGAGGAATTTTCCCTGCTAATAAAAAAATCAAATATTAGGAAATTAATAATAAAATAATTTATGTATCTTATTCCTAACTCACCCACAAAATTAACTTCCTTCTAACTTCCAAACAACTAACTTAGGAAGCCTTTAATTATAAAATTTAGTTTTTAACTTGTGATTATATTCATCCCCCAAAGAAGATTTGGTTCTCGAATTTGATTATATGAACCAATTAGATACATGTATTACTTTATGGTATCCTTCTCTCTTGTATAATTAGTTTTTGATTTGAATGATATATATGATATTCTCTTCTATCCTTTTAGGTATAATACTTTTCGTCTATCATCGTCATTTATCATTCACTTTTTCTCTATTATTATTATCGTCATACTTGCATGTCTCTGTCGTCAGTATCCATTCTCATGACTCTTTTCTCAAAGATCGATAATGACGGTAGTTGATGGAGGGTTAAAGAACCTTCACACGAAAACAATCAATGACAAACAAGGGTAGGGATGAAAAAAAAAATAAATTTTTTTTTATAAAATAAATGATTTTTAATGAAAATATTCGAAAATAAAATTATTATGTGAGAATTTCTTAAAAATTAAAGATTTTTTCCGAAAATTTACTCAACTTTAATAATATGATTTAATTTTAAAGGATGAAGGGATTGAAAAGATCTCCTGTGATCACTTTGGCTGGCCGTTCAACAGCTTGCAGCTTGAAACAGTGGAGGCAGGAGGCGGGGATTCCATCTCTGGCTTATGCTTGCAGCTGTTCGACGCCAGGGTCTCTTCCTGTGGATTCCTGGAGACCTTGTAACTCGAAGAAGCGATGGAGACAGGAGGCAAGTCCATGACACAGAGACCATCGAGCCACCACCCTTTAGGCTTTCTGTAATGGCCCATCCTGATTTGTGCCTCGGTTTGAGGTCCGATCGGGTGCGGCCGCCACTGCCCAGAACATTCCATTCAACCCTTCCTTGGAACCCTTTCTCTTCATACTCCTTCCTAGAAGCGTTCCGGTTGCTTCTTGTGATCATTACGAGTGTTGGCGGAGAAGAGATGATGGCAGTGACAACTCTTTTCACAGACTTACTCTTCGATGTCGACTCTGTTCTTGGGTGCCTGAGACGGAGATCAGAGGAACTGTTTGAGTGGGTCCATAGCATCTGACTATGAACAGCTACTTATGCCTTCTATGTGGTCTGAGTGGTTCGGTTCGTCAGAGGAGCTCTGCGAGAAACATTAACTAGAATTACGCGCACGACGTGTTTGATGGTATGTGTAAGAGTAACATTTCTTGTGATCATCAGAGAGATGATGGCAGTGGCAACTCTTTTGACGACCTACTCTTCGATGTCGACTCGGTTCTTGGGTGCCTGAGACGGAGATCAGAGGAACTGTTTGAGTGGGTCCATAGCATCTGACTATGAACAGCTACTTATGCCTTCTGTGTGGTCGAATTGTTCAGTTCGTCAGTGGAGATCTGTGAGTAACATAAGCAAGAATTGCGCACATGACATGTTTGATGGTATGTGTA